GACTCATGTGCTCGACTCAATCGTCAGTCTCTCTCTCTGTCTGCAGTTCAATTACACAATACATTGTTGCCGTCACTTCTTGGCGGCTTATATATACAATAATACCACATATCTAGTAACCTCTCGTGACTTCAGGAAGGGACGTAAACGTTCGAGAATATGACGTGTTACTAGCGTCACGTGACCCCTGCTGTCGTAACAGTACTTTCTGGCAGATGCTCTAGTACGTATATGATATATACCTATATATGATAGAGTATCTGAACACGTACATAATATACCAAATTTCAGCATTATAGTAAGGGTTGGTTGGTTGTAGTTAAGCACAAAGCTACATAATATATAGTTAAGAACACGGAATACCACAAGGAGATAACATTTTATTACTTGTCAAGCTGTTATCGAAATGTCATAGTTTTCTTGACTGAATGATTAAAGACCCCATTTTAATTAAGAAAAATATACCTAATATAAATAAATATAAAAGTTGGCGCCTAGTGTACAGATGTTCATTAAGATTTTTTTATCTCCAGAATGTATCTTTATTAGCTCAATATTTTACTATCAAAGCTTCATGAGCTACCAATATAGCAGAATAAATAATAAAGATATCCGTAAACATACATAGAGATACAAGTATGAAGATTTATTTCACATATGTAATGCATCAATACTATTCTAAATCCTACTCCCCCCAGTGGGTCAGCGGTAAGTTTGTGGACTTATAACGCTAAAATTTGGGACTCGATTCCCCACCGTGGACACAGCGGGTAGTCCAATATAGTTTGGTCTAAAACAAACAATTTCACCTGTTGATTTACACACATAAAGTATTTACCACTGTTTCAACAATTTAAATGTTTGGTATTAGTTCTGTTAGATATACATAATTTTTTTCAGTTAAAATTTAATGAGAGTATTATGATTTAGATAGTTTATATATCACGAATGTCAACTTTAGTTATTTTTAGAAGCGATAGCTTATCGCAAACTTGTTTATGTAACTGTTTAATAATCAAATGCTAGTTATGAATTGATGATTGTTATATTATTGTGTCATGAGTTTCTCGTTGTTTTAATTTAGTATTGTTGCATCATAATAGTTAGTAGTGTGTGGGCCTCTGTCGGGGTATACATACACGTCGAAAATGTAGTTAGAAAGCTAGGTCTAGGCCACATGATAGTGTTTAGCCATAAAGATCGTATGATGACAATTTTTAAAGTGAAATTATCACAGATTGTATTGTAATAACAGAGTATAGAATAATAATTGGTCTTGTCAATTTTGTTCTAAAGTAATTAAAACTTCCTGTGGGGACTTTGACGAAAAAGAGACAATTATCTAAAGCTCTGGATATAACATTAATAACCAACAGTTATAGTGGTGAGTTTAAAGTGACATTATCACAGATTGTATTGTAATAACAGAGAAGGAAGAATCATTCGTCTTGTCAAATTGTGTTCTAAAGTAACTGAACCAGCCTATGTGGACTTTGACGAACAAGAGTTAATTATTTAAAGCTCTGGATACAACTGTGATAACAAACAGTGTAACAAACATTTGTATATATGTTTCACTTGTTTTAATATATTACTTTAAAACAAGTGGACCGGGTGCTGTTTATTTATTGTTGAAATGTATCGTTAAAAAGTCGCAGACATCTACTGTAAAGAATCTGGCATCCCATCCATACATCAAACTGACCATTTTTAATACAATCTGAACCTTTTAGACACGTGTGTCAATATTCAATTAACTGATGATGGTTTTCCAATTTAGTTTCAACTGGACTAGCGAACTTGTAGGTTATCCAAAACTCATGATGAGCCAATAAAGATACATTCTGGAGCTAAAAATTATGATTTTATTCACTTGAAGAAAATAAACCATCTTTATTTAGTGTAAAACACAAACATAGTACAAACCAGATCATCTACTAGACTATTTTCAACGATGTTCTATA